TCATAATCAACCTTCGTCTTGCTCTAAATTTCAGGATATGTTGAATTCTAGTGGCGGAGAAAAAACAAAGATGCAAAAAACTGAAGGCGTCTCTAATGTACTCCACCTTATGTATGTCATTGTTTTCAGGAACAAAAGATCTCATTATTTTCAAGAACAAAAGGTGAGCAATTATGCGTATTACAGATAATATTAGTATTTACGCTTTCAATTGAATAAATAATAGATCTAACTTGTATAAGACTGATTGGTCTAGCTGATGTATGTTTTTCATTTTCTTTATTGCGGCATAAGGTGTTCACTTAAGTTTTTGTTTTCTGTGTTAATACTATTTGGTCGCTATAAAAAATGAAAAAAGAAAGAAAAACAATGATAGGAATGAAGAGATTGCATGGCTACGTGTATAACATGGCCTAACTCCTTGCCGACATGTACCGGGTGTTTGGTGGTATTTTACAACAGAAAGAGGGACCTATTCAACACTTAGGGACCAATCTTTTGTCTTTATTTAACATGGCTATGTAATATAAATACTATTTAGATTTTTGTTTGGATAAATTAAAAAATGACATATTTTTTGCTAAGTTATTATTTTTATTTACATTCGAATTAGATAAAAACTAAAGACATTAAGTTTCATTATTAGGTTGGACGGAATGGAGCTACGAGGAGGGATGCGGGACGTTTCCCGCATGTGGTAACACCGCACCGTCGTGCGGGATGCGAAGCGCGGGAAGGGGGTGGGTTTGGGGATGTCGCGTTCTCACTCTTCACCTCATTCGTCCGTTATTTTTTTTTTCTTTTTTTGATTCAAACAGATATATAGTTGTTATATATATATATATATATATATATATATATATATATATATATATATATATATATATATATATATACACTAGCAAATATGGTAGCATATAAGCGTGGCTACTATCTTATTGACGATATATCATTTCTTGTCTGTTTTTGTGAAATCGTTTACACCCGAAAAGGAAAAAGTTTAAAGAGGCGTAAGAGTCAGCTATGAAGGATGTGGAGCGAACATTTGGTGTACTTAAGAGACGTTGGCGGGTACTAGCAATCGGGGCAAGGTCATATGAATTGAAAATGTTACAACACATAATGTATGCATGTATCATATTGCATAATATGATTCTTGAAGACGAAAGAAGAACGATATATCGGTACAACGAATATGAAGTTTTGCCAAATGTCAAAGGAGTAGCCGTTGGTATACAAGAGTATAGGGCGAATAGAAGAGAAGTACACAATCACGACATTCATCATGCCCTTCGTGCTGATTTGGTGGAGCACATTTATAGGGCACATATTCAGCCCTCAATAGAGTTTCCTCACGATGATTTGTTTGACGAATCAGACGAGGATTCTGATATGTTCTTCGAGAGCGAAGATTCCAATGACGAGAGTGACGATCGTGAGAATGACGAAGAAGATGAGGTCGATGATGAAGACGATGATTCCGAGTTACGTATTTTGATTTTTTGTTTGATTTTTTTTTTTTGCGCTTTTTTTTTTTATTTTCTACTTATTTAAATATTTGGTATAATGTAGTTTTTATTTTAATTAATAAAATGCTTTTATTTTTAATTAAATTTTATGTTTAGTATTATTAATTTAAAAAGTATAAATCATAAAAAAAATTATATATATATATATATATATATATATATATATATATATATATATATATATATATATATATATATATATATATATATATATATAGTGAGGGAAACCCTTCCCATCCATTCCTTAGATTTTAGGTGAGCAAAATAAAAGTGAGGAAAATGATGGTATGATACACAAAAAGTGAGGGAAACTTCCCTTTCATATCCTCCAATCTTATCGTGTCTAAAACGTATTACAAAGTACAACCTGGTAGATCGATCGATATATAATAAATTAAGACAGCATCTATATGATATTATAGTGTCTAAAACGTTACATGATTTAAAAATCAAAGAATCAAAATCCCTTAATTAAGTATTGCATAACTTAAAAAATTAGATCTTTAAAGAAAAATAATTGATAGATGGGGCCACCTGATAACCCACTCCTTTCCTGAAAAGCTCCATGGAACCGCAAATCAACAACTTTAATTGTTTGAAAGAGATATTTGTTGAACATTACTGACCGAGTTAGATATTAATTGTTTAATATCGTATGTTGGACAATCAGAAATATGTTATTATTGCTAATGTGATATCTTATAACCTAGTCTTTACAAGATCAATATCATCATTTTTTTGTTGTATCTAGTTGTGTTGCTTCTTGTTGTGCCCATGATTAAACGAAACGTGATCTTCTATTGGCTGCACAAATTCTCTCTTTTTATCTCTCTCCTTTTAACAGGTGTTATAACATCATGAACACCACCTTTTCTTTTTGTTGTTTCTTGTTATAACACCACTTCAAGTTATCAATACTATATGCTCTAAGTAAGGTTTGCACTTACCAAAAATACAATGGGTACCTGTATTAATTTAAGAAATCAGTCCAACATATATTAAAATGAATATGTAAAATAATAAAATATCATTTTGTAACGTAAGCCTAAACTGTAAAGTTGGAAAATATTTTAAAAGAATACGCATAAACGTAAAAACGGTAAACTCTTAAAACAACGAAGATATAAAAACTGTAAAGGAATTATATATATATATATATATATATATATATATATATATATATATATATATATATATATATATATATATATATATATATATATATATATATATATATATCAAAAAAATGTTGTAAAAAAAAATATAAAACACACATTTTCGATAAGCCGATGACGTCTTCTTTTAGTTTGATAATATATGTTGCAGAAAAAATTGAATATGAACAAAATTCTTTTGTTTGTTATCATCTCGAGTCATTTTCTATATAAAAAAGGAAGACAACATCTTCGTTAAGCCAAGCCAATGATGTCTTCTTTTGATATATGGGGGTTGAAATTCAGAAAATTATTAAATATAATAAAGGTTATCAAGTAAATAATAAAGAAAATTTATGTATCCTATATATTTAAGCAAATCATTTATTTTAAGGATTTAGTAAAGTGGAAGGAAGAAGTCTTTGAGAATTAAGGAAATATTTTCATAAAATAAATTAGAATCCTAACTTTTTTGATATTTTGAAACCAAATGGCAGGCCCAATAAAATTTGAAAGGAATAAATAAAGAATGTGTAGAAAGTAGAAACCATACATACTAAAACTTTGAAAAGAAGGATATAACGGGAATCGAACCTGTATTTGTTGGTAATCTTAAAAAAAATAACCGACCAACCAACTCAACTGAAGATAACTTTATAAAAGTTTAAACAATTTAAGCATAAGTAAAATACTAAAATAAATTAATTTTGGGCCCAACCGTGATAAAGCCCGGGGCCGTCGTCCACCTTACACAACCTATTGGGCTGGGCCTGTATCATGTTACATCAAATGTTGTAAATTATATAAACATAATGCAATTTGTTTTAGGTTAAATGGTATGGTAGTTGGTAAAAGAACATGTATAATACAAAAGTTATGTTTTTTTAAATCAATAGTGTGTTATTTTGTAAAAATAAAATATAACGTTTGTAAAACCATGCAAAAATAAAAAAAAAAATGTAAATTTTCGAAAAAAAAAAACTAATTCATAAAAAAAGATGTAAAAGATATTGTTCAATTAAAAAAAACATAAAAAAGTTATAAAAAAAGATTTGAGGAAAATTGTAAAAATTATTTGAAAATAGGTTGCGAAATGTATTTTTTTTTTCTAAAACTTATATTTAGGAAAAAGAAAAAAAAGTTGAAGAATTTTTTAAAAAAAAAAAATAATACTTGTATCATATTTGTAAAATACATTGAAAGCGGATTAAAGTTATACAAACAAAAAGATTTAAATAAAAAAAAAAAAAGTGTCTCATATTTGTAAACGAAAATGAAATTGGGTATTTATGCACTTTTCAGTTTACAATTTATAATTTTAAAATTAGTATTTCAAGATTATAAAAGTATTTTTTTTTCATATTTATTTTTTTTGTATTTTTACCTTTAATCATTTTTAGGTTTTTTATTTACCAAATTTTTATGTCATAAGTTTATAGGAGTAATATAAAAGTAGATTTTAAAATAATTACTCATCGACTAAAAAGTGAGAAAAAAATAATAAAAAAGGTAGCTGGTAGCACACTTTTGATAAAATTTTATGCTATGTAATAAACTGTCTTGTTCCATTATAAGATAAAATACTTTTATATTATAGTTAAAAGTTACTTCCAAACTGTTTATAACTTTGAGTAAACTATTTTTTTGAACATGTCACATTAAAAAATAATAACTTTGCATTACAAATCAACATCTACATGGTATTTTCTACATAAAAAATTATTTTTTAAGTTTTGCTATGATTTCTAAGATAGGGTCTTAAGATCTTACAACCAAAAAGCAGTTTAAATTATAGTATTATCGAATTTTTTTTAACAACTCATAGTATGACCGATTCTAAAGTAAGATTTATAACATGATCTTAGAATTGCAATTATAGTTGTAACATCTTACCTAAGATACAATCCCACTTCTTTAATCTTTATTCTCTAATCAAATCTTTAGTTTTCTTTATCGTAAAAAATTCACCAATTCTGCTCAAATCCCATACATATTCAACATGAAATTCAGCTAAAAAAAACTGTCCAATTAACTCAAAGCAGAGTATTATGTATCACACAAAGTCCCATCGAGCATTAGAACTTCATCCATTCATCTCAAATTAGCGAAAAATCACAACAATCATATGAGTTCATTTGTGATTTTATGTCTTACACACGATGATTTTATTTCTTTTTCCAGCTTACTATGTTTTCTTCTCAATCCTTGTGATTTACATCTATATGAATTATGATTTTAAAATGTCAAAGTTGATTCAACCATCAATGTTTATAACGAGTATTCCACAAACACGACATTGATCAAATCAAAAATCTAGTTCACTTTGTTGGCAAATTACATACTCCAAAATTACCATAGCAGGTATTCTAAATGTTCTTTTAAGACAAAATTATAAATTTGGTTCCTATCTTTTACCCAATAAAAACAAGTCCACTTTAACTTTTGAGATCGTTTATGTTAAAATGTTAATCACCAAACTGGAAAAATTCTCATGAAGTAAAATTGATTAGTGTTTGGTACCAAAAAAAAAAAAAAAAAAAGACGTGATTGGTTCTATACAAATTAATCGTACAAATTGTGAATTACTACAAATCTGAATCTCAAGGATCCTAAAAACCTATATTGCCCACAAAATAATCATATAACAAACATAACATGGTTTGATTTTCATCACCATATTACATGAACGAAAATTGAAAATCATCTAAAAGTTGCAGCATCGAGGTCTTCCGTTTGCCAAATTATCCCACAAACACACCATTTGTCTAGGGGACTGATAATGTGCTGTGTAGTAGTTATCCATACATCCATACTGACAAAACTTCCCATGGTGCGAGTACTGAACCCGACTCTTGCTGCTATTGAACTGCTCCACCCACATTCCCATGCTCACGTCCTCCATTTTAAATATCTGCCAAACCAACACAGTACAAGGCCATTTACGTCTTTTTATTACCTTTTTTTTTTCTCTGTCCCAATCCAATTCATACGCAATGCACACTACAATGTCAATTTCTTCTGTCTTGTCAGGATGGGACTGTCTATTTTTTATGATGGGGAAGAGGAGGGCATTTTCGTCTTTTTACCTTTTTGGGTACCAGTCCTAGTCCTAGTCCTAGGCCAATGCACGCAAAACATAGTACAAGGTCAGTTTGTTGTGTCTTGTCAGGTGGACATGGGAATGTTTTTTTTTTTTTTTTTTTTTTATGATTGGGAAGAGAAGGGCATTTATGTCTTTTTGCAGAGATAAGGAGTGTAATTGAGGACCCTGAGTTTTCTTTTGGTGTGTTGAGAGACGATGAAATTGGCAATGTCACTGGAAATTATGTATCCTGGTCCGTTTGCGTAAGGTGGATACACTGCTTCAGGCCATTCCTGCAGATATTAGATGTGGATTTATGAACATGGGTTTGTTTTCTAAAAAAAGAAAAAAGATAAATAAATGTTGTTTATGAATTAATTAAGAATGAAAAGTTGTGATACCTCAAAACTAACTGCCCACTTGCCATGTCTGAGAGGGCGATGAAAGAGATTCAAATTGCCCATATAAAGAGACTGTTCACGTGGGACCCGGTCGAGTTCTTTTAAGATTATATCCATCCTTGTGAAAGTGTCATCATCACATTTCATTACGTATGATGCACTTAGATTTTGAACCTACATTTCAAATGGTTTTTTATTATTGAATCATAGTAAATAAGAAGCCAATTCAGAAAAAGGAAAATTTTAAGAAAATATCCCTGATCTTGAGCAAATTTTTCGAAGGAGGGGTATTAGTGGCAGAAAAGCAAAGATAGGGATATATTTCAGTAAGGATCATTGGTGAACATAGGTTTGTAAAAGGGGGTGTTATTGGCACAAAAGCAAAGATAAAGGTATATCTCAAATAGGGTTATTAGTGAACATATTTTTGTTAACTGCTATTACTTATAAGCACAAAAGCAAAGATAGGAATATATTTCAGGGAAGGTTATTAGGGAACATGTTTCTGAAAGAGGGGGTGTTATTGGCACAAAAGAAAAGATAGGGATATATTATGTGAACGTATTTCTTGCAACAGGGGGTGTTATTTGCATATTTTCTTAAATTTTCACATAGAAAGTATAGGAAAAGGGTAGAATTGTAATAACCGCATATTCACAAATGGCAATAGTTTTGAGCACCACAAGCTCATAGTGATCCATAAATGTTAATACAACAATATCTCCAAAATAAGCTGCCTCCTTTTTCAAAACTGCATTTTGCTCCCTTCTTGGACTCTACATTTTTTATTTAAAAAAAAAAAAAAATTTGTTATGAGAAACATATATATATATAAAGTAATAAACCTACAATTAAATTAAAAGATAGGGTGGAAGAAGTAAACAGATAAATAAATTACAAAACCATTTGAAAAGACAAGAATGCCCTCTTACCAATGCAACAAAAAAGCGAACAACAACATCTGAGGTTTTGATGGCAGAAGCTTGCATCCATGTTTTCCTAATAGCCATACGCTCAGCAAAGTGATTTGTAGCTGATAAAATCCCAATAAAAACTCGGATAGGATGACCTGGCAAAGGTTTAGCTTTCCATTTTTCTGACATTTCTATTACCCTTTGAGGTGAGAAGCTTGGATGAGAAGCTGGAAGTGATGTGGCAAAAACTGAATGAACATCTACATCACCTTTAATTGCTAATCCTGTTGCATCCTCAAGTGTATACCCCTAATAATAAATAAATAAATAAATAAAACGAATCAATTATCTTAATAGCAGTGAATTTCTCCTCAATTATTCCATTTCCTTCTGTTTCTCCAAGTTTCTGTCATTCTCTCACTTCTTTTTTACACATCTTACATCCAAACATCATTAACTCAGAAAAGAATAAAGAATGTAAAGGGATTTAGAGTAACATACTGTACGATATGGGAATGAAGTCACATGTCTTCCTCCAACATTTATATGGTATCCATCAACTCCAGCACGTATTGTTAAAACAAACAGTTTTCCCTCCACAAAAGGAAATGGCCATGTCACTTCTGGTTTTTGTGCACGTCCTATGAATCTCTTGAACCATGTTGTTGTTCTTGATTCTTTTGAATCAACAACATCATTACGCAACCATTTTTCACATCTTTGAAATCCATCAACTGATAAAGATAATATAGACTGATTGAAATACCAAAAGAAGGAATAGAAACTCGTGTAATGTTAACAAAATTTATGTGAAAAGTGAAAAGCTTACCAAGCATATCATCATCGCCTTTTGAAGGTAAACCATCACACCTCTGAGCTGTACCCCATTGCATCCTGTAACACGTGTTATGTTCAATGACAGGTTGTTGACTCCAATCACCTCTCAATCGAGGGTTGAGATGCAGAATTTTTGGGGGATCTTCTGCAACTACAGACTTTAGCCCTTGCAACTCGACCTTAAATTGGGAAACCAAAACCATGGGGTCACCTGCTTTTATTTTTGCAAGCTGTGGAACATACTCGTTATGAGCATGATGAGGGGTTCCCACTACTGTAATTGATGATCCTGCAGCAAGACCACAGGGAAGGAATGTGATTCGGTCTCCTTTAGTTAGTTCTTCACTACTCATTGATACCCATGGAGGACAATGCTCTTGCTTTCCTTCAAGTATGGAAGTCAAATCATTGTCCTTCTCGTTGTACTTATGAACCTCTTCCCATGCCTTCAAACCTAAACTCCAAGCTTCATCTGCCATTTTCTCCAATCCAGTCATATCCCGAGTCCTTTGCCTTCGCCTCAAAATATCACCAGTTAATCTCCCATATCGAAGATCAATAGGTGGAAAACTATCATCGTTCTCTTTTTGACTCGCTCTTTCAATTCTGCTACCATTTTCTAACCTTTCCCTAAAGTTATCATCAGGTTCCTCTTCTAACTTCTTCTCTTCTTTCACTTTTTCAAATCTGTTATCATTTTCTAACGCCTCGCTATTTCCATCCTCGTATGCAGATCCTAACGATGGCTTACTGACTTCTAACTGATCTCTCCGAACTGCTTCATCCTCAGTAGTGGTCGACGTCTCGAAATAAGCAGAGAACTTGAAGCAAACAAGGATCAAATACAATGCCGCTATAACAAACAAAATATGTGGCAGTTTTACCCTCCTCAAACCAAAAACTTCACTCCTCGACCTCTTCATTTTCATTTATTAGATAACCAAATCGGACACATTGGGCCTTAATTCTACAAACTAAAGCAATCTCATCTCATAACTTCAGTTGATCCAAACACAAGTTGAAATCGATAAATAAAAGGGCGTAAGAGAAACCGAATCCTGCGTACCCTAATTTTCTGAAGATGCAGTTTGAATCTTCGCCTGTAGTAGGCGGATTTACCTTCAATCGAATGCGAAGAACCTGAGGAAATCAGCGGCAATTTGCAGAAACGGAAGTTTTGAGAGGGATCGAAAAGATTTAAAGACCTAAGATGGGAAATAAACGTGACAAAAGGTGCGGATGAATGTAATGAGCAGACATGACATGATCATATATTATAAAGGTCAGGTGGAGCAATCTTGTCTAACCAAAAGGAAAAAAATATGGTTTTTATGCCCCCGTTAAATGTTACAATTTGCCTAATACCCTAAAAACTGCGAAGAAATTTTATTAAATAATCAGACTTCGAAGGGGAGTTTGGACCCAAAATCACACTCAATAAATGGATGGACCCAAGCACCGTAAATAAGACAAATGATCGGGCTCAAAACATGACCGGGCGTCAGGGTCAAACAACTAATGCTTACATCGATGATAGAGGAATATAGAGCAAGCATTATATCGTGCTCTATCCATCTATTAGGATGAGCTAGTGTTGGCAAATACATGTCACGGAGACCCAAACCAATATTTTACCAACCGAACCAATAAAATCGGTAGCTAAGTTGTTTGGTAGTCAATACGTTTGGTTGGTAATACCATGCAAATTAAGTAGTCTTGGTATAGTAACGGTATGAAATTTTAACTATATATATATATATATATATATATATATATATATATATATATATATATATATATACAAATCTTACGGTCCGGTCTGGTTTTTATACGGTTTGAAATCTTAAATATCGTAAGCCAAACCGTTAAATATGGTTTGAAAAGTTTATAACCGCAAGCCAAATCGTAAAGAAAAATACAAACCGTAAAACCAAACTGATGATCGGTTTGGCCGGTTTCACAGTTTCAAACCGAACCGCGAACACCCCTAAGTGAAACAACGACCAAATGTCCATAGATTCAAATTATATTCATGTATAGTACATATTAGTTAAATAGTACTGTAACGCCCATGTTTCTAGGCTAAGCATTAATATAATGGTGTAATAGTTAGGATCAACAAGTATAACCTACATGGAAGTAATAAAGAGAAATTATTTGAGTATTATGTGATTTTATGTGGTTTATACTTAATTATAAGATATAATAAGTTAAGAATAAAAATAAGCGTCAAAAATAAAATAATAGATAGGTCCAATATCTATGAAGAAAGTTGTAGTGGTCGGGACAAGGATTCTCAAGATATAAAGAACACTGACATCTAAGTTATAACGAATAAGTTATGACCTATTAGGGATGAGCGTGGAACGGAACCGGTACCGACCCGTACCGTTCCCGATATCCCAAAAACCGAATTCAATCAAAAGTTAATCCCGAGTACTGAACCGAAACCAGTACCGGGAATGGTACCGATTTTCGGTACTAGTACCGGTACCGGCGATACCGAATCCCGAATTTTGTGTATTTGGAGTACCAAGTATTGTCCCATATTTTTAAATTCGGTACCGGTTTCGGTTCCGGTACGGTACCAGTACGGGATCGGGATTTGGGAAAAACTGCTCATCCCTATGACCTGTTGAAGTTTCGTGACAAAACCGGCACGGCACCGGGAACCGTAAAAAAGTGAGTTTATGATAAAGCACTTTTTGGCCTTAGTGACCTAAAAGAAAGTTTTAGAGTACATCTCCACCTACCCTTGGATATAAAGAACGTCGAAAACAGAGTTCGTATGCAAACGTTATGACCTTCCGAAGATGTAGCTGTCTGAGGGCATGACACGTGGCATAAACCCTAGTCGCCTCATGTCCACGACGTGGACATTAAGTTCACTGCGTGAAATTAGTCAAAGACACTAATCGAGGCTAGAAAAACACGTACTAAGTCTACGGGAGGGATGTGTTAAGATCCCACGGCGTGAACATCAAATTCATGACATGAAAATGCCATCCGGACACCTTTCGGAGCTAGAACGCAGATGGCAAGTCTACAAAGTAATTCAGCCATCCGCCACAACGTGAACATCAAGTCCACGACGTGAATGGGCCCAAAACAACCTATAAATAGCAAGTTCGATCTCAGCCATTCTTACACCAAATTCTTACCTCTCTCTCTCTCTCTCTCTCTCTTTTCTGTCTGTCTCTCTCTCTCTCTCTCGTTTGTTGAAGGCATGCCTCATCCCTAGCCTGACGATCACGAACTGCTGACCGCTTTAGTTAGATTCTATCAACTCACGCTATTAAGGTGAGTGAATAGTTACTTTCATCTTACATATAGATATGAAGTATTTTTATATAAATTACATGTTATATGTGCATATTATTTGTATACTTGTTATCTATGCTAAATGAACACTATTATACATGTTTTAAATGATTTAAACCGCATATGTATTTTATATCTACAAATATGTTGGGGTAAAACATTAGTAGATGAAATAGTTGGCGTGTGATGACAACCACAAATTTTTCCAGTCATCTAGCAGAGTATAGATGACAACCACAAATTTTTCTAGACAATCTAGTGGAACGCTAGCAGGCCCGCAACCTGTAGGTTTTTGTGAACGATGTGTTCATAGGTATACTCTATCCCCCTCATGGTTGCCTTAATAACATGTATAGATGAGGAACCCCCTTAGCAGTAGTGTCCATCCCGATGAAAATCCTTAGGGTAGGTCCCTTACTTTAGATGATTTAGGGACAAAAAGTAAGGATAACGAGAATGGGTAATCAGTTTGTTTGATTTGATGAAGTTCATAAACTTAATTATTGTGGGTTGAAAACCCTATGTGCTCACCAGGCTCCCAAGCCTGACCCACTCAGTTTTCTCGTATACAGGTATTGGCAAGAGAGCACAAGAGTGATGATCTGATAAGAGATCAATGGATTATAGGTCACTATAATAAATAGATATTATAAGGCCTATGTTGTTTATGTTTATGCTTTTGATATGTATTAACAATGACATCTTGAGGTTTTTAATATAATACATTTCTTCGGAAATGTTTTGATAAATTCTTTATCATATTTTTTCGAACAAATTCCGCAATATATTTCATTATAAATATACTCTGATTTTCAAATAAAGCATAAATAAACCGGTCTTTTCTAGCCGTGAATTTAGGGATGTTACAAGTACATATTAGTTAAATAGTACATATTAGTTAAAAATTTTGGTATATACCAAATACCAATATGTATCAACAAAATTTGTTAGTAGCCAAATTAATTGGTACCAAGTACACTTGGTACGGTACTGGTAGCTAAAATCTTATACCAACTATAGTTGGTACAGTACTTGGTTTGGAGAAAAAAACTCACTACCGTACCAATTCCACCCTAGGATGAGCACATTAGACAAATGATAAAAAAATCCTAGTATACAAACTAACTTTTTAGACTGTATGGAATGAGCACATGTGTCCTCAATAAGAATATAAATACCTTCTATATGGATATTTTTCAGTTTGCCATAACACACTTCTCCACACTTACCCTTTTGTACACTCTTAGAAAATACACAAACACATCCTAATAATATTGGTTCCTTTATTAATCATAAGAACTAGATTGTTTGCAAGAACTTACAACAAAAAGTTCACTATATCAACCTATTCTACGCTCAACCTAAATCTACTCACAAGATGATAAAGAGCTGAGTGAAACAAAGTATAACAAACTGAAACCATAGCTATCGTTTACAAAGAAAATGAGAGAGAATACAACAAATGTGTGTATAAAATGAGAGCAAATTGTGACATCCCAAAATTACGGTCATTTTAAAACTTTTTTATGCTTATTTTAAATTAGAATGACCTTTATAGATGCATAATTTGTCTCATAAAAAGTATTTTCCAAAGAAAATGTTTTTCATTGATTTATTAAAAATTTAGGATATCATAACCGATACAAAACATAAGCATAAACAAGTCTTACATCAATATTAAAGCAGCCTACAAACTCCTTTAATCTCTCAGCAAATGATTACATTATCTATTATTATCTTCGTATTGCTACATGTGATACAAAGAAACTGAATGGGTCAGGTTGGAAAACCTGGTGAGTACATAGGGATTTTAATCTCACAATGTTATAATATATATATATATATATATATATATATATATATATATATATATCTTAAATTTACAAAACCAACTGTTACCAAACAATATATAGATGTGCCTCCGACTTGGATATCTATAACTTGCATACCTAAACATGCCTACCCTAATCGATCCCCACATATCCTAGTATAAGATTATAAAGAATGCTTATCTCACCTGATGAATCATTATAATAATCAAGTGATTGTGATATGGAAGATGACCAAACATATATTTACAGTTGCCTAATCTGGACCCACCATTTATGGTCATCCAAAGGAATATGCAGACATACCATTACAATTGTCTAACCTGGGCTCACCATTCCCGATCACCCAAAAGAATATGCATACATACCATTACGGTTGTCTGATCTGGGCCCACCATTCCTGATTACCTAAAAAGAATATGCATACGTACCATTATAATTGCCTGATCTGGACCCACCATTTCTGGTCATCCAAAAAGGAATACACTTTATACTTTGGTATGTATTTCGTATCTCAAAATGGTTATAAATGATTCCAAACTTATAGTAAATATACTTCATAGATTGGGTCCTTTGGAAATACTCAATAACACATTGAAAGTATGCATGCATAAATTGGCGGATAATTTCCAAGGTTTCAACAATGTGGAAGATCATCGTTATCCAAACATTACTTGATGGTTGCGATACAACTTATGATTTCAAGATGCCGGCTAAGCATGTAGTCGATCTCATTCTCAGATACATATGATGTAGCAATGTTCTCTTTGATCACATTG